ACAACTGCTGGTTTTATTAAAAGAAGACAAAGCTCTGGTTTCGACCAAACAATAACCCAGTCCTACCAGAAACTCTCAAGTTTCTACTCCTGACTACTGTACTTACATGAAACAGTCCACTGACAAAATGATAGCACTTATGAATCAGTATTGGTGGAGAGATATTAACAAGGCCACAAAAAAAATGCCTACCTTAAGTGTCCCACCTGGGCAAAGTACAATCTAGAAAAGCCTGTTTGCACTGCCCCTGGACATTTTAAATTACCTAATGGACCACTGGAGGTTTGGCAAATAGATTTTATACAGCTTCCCTTGTTTCATGGATATAAATATGTTTTAGTCATGATACGTATGTTTTCTCACTGGGCTGAAGTTTTCCCTCGTAGATAAGCTAATGCCTCCACAGTGACTTAAGTCCTGTTAGAGAAGATTATTCCTATTTGGGGAACTCCTTTTGTACTCGACAGAGATCGAGGAACACATTTTACTGGTCGAGTGCTACAAGTCTATGCTATTTGGCCAGTTCTACATCATTTTCACTGTGCTTACAATCCTTAATCTTTAGGTCTAGTTGAATGTACCGATGACATTATTAAGGTTCCGTGGGCAAAATCTATAAAACTCCTCAAATATCTGGCCACAAACATTGCCGTTATTCCCTTTAAATCTCAGATCCTCCTCTTTTGGGACTCATAAGCTTTCACCTTTTCAGATAATGGCAGGATACCCCACTCATTTGGCTCCTGCTTCTTTGGATCCACATTTGGTAAAAAGAGACATACTTCAGTATTGTAAAGGCTTCATTGCTTCTAATGAAAATAATCATGTTTTGGTAGAGCAATCTTTTTACAGTGCATGCTAATGAAGTGAAAAGTCTACAGCCTGGAGATTTGGTTTACTAGAGAAGGCACCTCAAAAAAGATTCCCTCCATCCTTGATGGAAGGGCATCAAGTACTGCTGGCTAACCCTTGTGTTGCCAAACTCCAGAGAGTGGACTCTGGATACATATGTCCCTCCTAAAGAAGGTACCAGACCCTGGCTGCCACTGCACACAGTCTGATAACCTAAAACTAAAGCTGTCAAAAGTTAAAGCAGACAACCTCTGAAGGAAATGAATTGTCAAAACGACTGAATCAGGCCGGTATAACTCTTTTCTTCCTATTAATTGTTTCATTTTTCTCTTTTCTTTGGAAGGAACATGCCCTTGTTAACATTTCCTAAGCCATTGTGAAAAGGGGGAATCTTTGTGGTTATTGAATCTGCTATCAAGAACTTTGATCTATACAAGATATTAATGGTCCTTGTTTCATTATTTACAGGGTTGAGCGACTGGTTTAAATTCATTATGTAAACTGTCGTATTGTTCTGTTTTGAATTCTTATTAATAGTAAGTTCTGATCCTGTTTCTTGTTAACCATGGACACAATCTGTTCCCCATCATGCACTTTTCCTCTGATGTGAGAGATGACACCTAGAAGAGGTCCTTTCTGACAGCGAGGGACAAAGGGCTGCTTAAGTTAGAAGACCTGCTCATTGATCAGTGATGCTTTCAGAGAAAGGGCTCAATCAAATGGAGAGAATGATAAAGACTAACTGGAACTTTAAGAAAACATAATCAGTCAAGAGGGTCTATGGGAGGAGCTAGGGCTTATGGAAGTTCTCGCACTCTACTTAATCAGACCTTGACACATGAGAACGCTACAGGAAGAACTCTGTTTATAATAAAGCTCTATGGTTCTGACTTCCCCTTTCCTTAACTCCCTTTCCTTTATAAAAATATTCCTCTGTTTTGGCACACAGGCTGGAGTGTTCACATCGCTTGCCATGTGTGTATGCATGGAGTTGCAACCTTTCTTTTTCCCAAGTAAATCCTTTTCGGTGACAAAACACCTAGTTGGTGTTATTTTTTCAGTCGACACTAACAAATTGTGGGATATTTCCAGATCACTGTGAGAGAATGTAAGGCCAAAGGACCACGGCTGTAAAGGCAGTGGTGGCTCTCTTCCTCCCCTGCTTAAGATACATGCTCCCAGAGAGCAGGGATTTTGTATAGATTGTTCACCATTCTCTCCTCAGATCCCAGGCCAGGGCTGAGCCTCTCTCTTACTGTATGTTAACAACCTAATGATGTTAGGAAACAACATAAACAATCTGGACTTAGGGCCTACAGGGAAAGCAGGAATTAGAAAGCATTATTATGTATCTTAAATGTATACGCATTTGTATTTTTCGTTGTCTAAATACAAACTGTATACCATATAGTTTCTTGCATAGTACATATGCACTACTCTAACCTTTTAGTGATATTTATCACATCCTTTTTACCTTGTTGACTTTTCTACCTACCTTATATCTTTGTTATTGGTCTGAAGGCTACTTGGAGGATAAACAGAAATGTTAAGAAAGGCAGATTTTTGTGTTGTCCACTGTCATGTCCTAAACCTTCACAACAGTGCTCAATTAGGGCCAGACTCCCTCTGAGTTTTAGGATATGGGATAATCCTAATATTATCATGGGGAAATAAATCCAAGACCTAGTTCTGGTCTTGCAATCAGGGGTGAGTGGTGGGTAATTGCTTTACTACAGCCAAGATACAATCTGCATGAGCGGAAATTGTCCTTTTTAGTCACCTGGCAGTGTTGTTGCCAGGGCCCAGTCTCCCGGAGCATAAGGACTTGTAAGAAGTGGTAAAAGTACCTAACACAGAAACTGGTATCCTAAGGTCAACGTTATTGTTTGTTTTTGTTGCTGCAATCTATTTCCCAATTAGGAAAAAAAAAAAGAGGATCCCGACAACAAAGATCAAAATAACTGCCACATGGTTTAAAGTTGCTATTCATTTTGAATTAAAACAAAAACAAAAACAAAAGTCAATACTGGTTATTGACTATGACTATATTTGCAGTAAAATATATTAAAAAAAACAAACAGGCCAGATTTGCACCAAATTCATGATAGTGTCTGCTTCTGCAGAGAAAGCAAACACTATGGTATTGGGAAAGGAATTTGTTCTTTTTGATGCTCTTTTAAAAAATATAAATCCGTTATCTAAAACAATATGCCAAAATGATGCGATTTCTTCATTTTAGATGAAGGTGAACAAATGTTTGTTACATATTTTATACTTTGCATATGATGTTTTAATTTTTAAAGTAAAACAAAGAAAATTGGAAACAGCATTATAGCTTATGACTTTATTATAATGTCTTCAGAATTGAACATATCTAGGACATATGCATATGCGGCACACAAGTACATAAAGCATCTGAATAAAAGAAGTGAGAAGCGTGATAATAGATAAAACTTTAAACTTTGTATTTCACAGAGAATATACATTCTGTTTTAATAAAAAGCTTGAATAAACCAATTATCATTGAAGAGATAAGAAAGCTGATTAAGGATCTACCATCAAAAGCGTCACTGGGATTAGACTGTTGCACAATTTAGTACTAGCTAATTTTTAAACAACAAATAATCCTAATGTGATTAAAATATTCCAGACTACAGGTAAATATTGAAAACTCACCAGCTAATTTTCTAAGCTAGCACAATTTTAATTTAAAAACTTGATAAAGACAGTGCAAGAAACAATAAAATTTCGCTTTGAAATGAAAATGCAATTCTAAATAAGATAATGGTAAATAAAATCCAGCAATATATCATAATGTTATGACACCATGACCAAGTAGGATTTATTTCAGAAATACAAGTTTGGTTCACTATCAAATTCCTACCACTCTAATTTATTATGTCAACAAATTAAGGGGAAAAGACATGTAATTTTATCAATAGATGCTGAAAAGTGATTTGATAAAATTCACGAGCCACTTTTAGTAATAATGCTATATAAAACAAGAATAGAAGAAACTCCCTAAACATGTTAATAGTTAATGACTACCAATAGCCAAAAGCAAATGTCATGTTAATATGGAATGCTAAAAATTAAGAACCAGATGGGCATATCTGCCATAATCATTATTCAACACTGTTTTGGAGAATCTACCTAATGTAATAATAACCAATATAAACATTAGAAAAACATAAAATTATCTCAAAATTATCTCTATCCCCAGGTGAAATGATTGTATACCTAGAAAGCCAAAAATATTCTATTTTAAAAACCCAGCATAATTTACAGGATTTAGTAAGCTGATTAAATAGTTAAAATTTTTTAAAAATCCATAGTTTGTCTCTATAGGCCAAAATAACAAATTAAAAATGAACAGGAGAAAATACACTGTTCAAAATGCCAAAATATGACAAACTATAAAAATATTTAGAATAAATTTAACCTGATATGAAGGACCTAAATGAAGAACATTACAAAAGCAAAAACAAAAGATTTTAATGATGTACCCAAAATCTTGAAAGTTAAGTATTAATATTACTAACATAATCCTCTAAATACATATGAAAATGTAATTCAATTTTTAATGTGAAAAGAATGCCTTTAATTTTCATATGAAAGAATAAATGTCTAGGACAAGCTATAAAAAAAAAAGAAAAAAAAACTAATGAGAACTAACTTGCTTTACCAGAGTCCAAAATTTAAGGTTAAGCCACTATAATTAAAATAATGTGAACTGGCTCAGAAAATTGAAAATGGATGATTGATATAATAAATGTGATAGCATAATCAGGTATCCAATATAAACAAAATGTATAGTTGGACATCTATTTAATACCATATACAAAAGAAATTCCAGTTGGATGAAACAGTGAAACCTCGGCTTTTTAGAAAAAAAAAAAGACTTGGGGTTGGGGCATTAATGTGAAAAAGACAGAAAACCAGAAAGCCAAAATGAAGTAGTCTCTCTAAAAATTAAAAAAAAATAATAAAGTAAAAGATACCATTAGTAAAGTTAAGATTAACGATAGGACGGAAAAAATCATAACATATATGGGCTACAAGTGATTAATATTCATCATATAGCAAATATAGTGAGAATTCTTACAAATTTATAAAGAAAAGATCAATGATTCAATAGATAAGTGAACATAGGATAAATATTGGCAAATCATAAAGGAGAAAAGTCCAAAAAGCAAAACAAACAACCCCCCTAAAAACAAACAACCAAAAAAACCTCATTGAGTTTGCCAATTAAAGAAACAATACAACAAAATTTTTGCCTTTCAGATTTGCAAACATTAAAGAGCGCTGGAGAGAATGCTGGAAAATGAAAACTTTCATTTGGGTGGTAATTTTGTAACATCTTTCAAAATTAAATAAACCTACGTAGCAATCCCATTCCTAGGAATCTAACCTATAGAAATAAAAGCACCAGTATGTATTGAGTAATGCTATGGTGAAAACACAGAAAGGAAATAAAAAATGACCATTAAAAACAGAACGGTTCAATACCATTTTGGTACATAAACATGTACTGTGTATGCAGCTGTTGGAGGGAGGAAAAGATGGAGGGGGGAGAGAAAATGGGTGACTTATTTAATAAATGGGTGGCACAATCAGGTATCCAATGTGAGCAAAATGTATAGTTAGATCTCTGTCTTATACCATATACAAAAATAAACCCCAGAGCAAGGAGGAAATGAATGCTGTATTTAAATAAATGCTAAGACATGATCAGGTATCTAATGTGAGCAAAATGTGTAACTAAATCTGTATCTTAATACTATATATAAAAATAAATTCCAGAGGGAGAGGAGGAGAGGGAAAGAAGGATAGAAAAAGGGAGAGGGAGAGATATCTGCGACTATTGATCAGAAGGGATTTTATGGATATATCCAGTGAGAAAAGCAATTACAGAGAAATGAGGTGGCTTGTCATTTTCACAGAAACAATTGCAAGAAACTTCTTGTAAGAGGTTGGGAAAAAATGCAGGATATGCAACATGTTCTTAACACTTGTTATTTGTAGAGAAGAAAGAGGGGAAGGTAAGGGAAGTGGGGGGAAGGATATGGTGTGGGGTTACACCATTAATTTTTGTTTATCTAGTCTTTCATTGTTCCAATGGTATTGAACACTTTCCAATTTTCCATTAGCACCCAATTTATATTTTTCAATTACACAACAAGGCAATATCATAGGTACCAAAGTACACTTGGGCAAAACTGTGGAACTAGTCAATGTAAGATCTGGAGGCACGATAAGTAATAAGTATTATTAAATTCCTGAATCTCTGACACCAAAACTGTTCTGAAAAGTTCACGATTACAAAAACACAACGCACTTTACATTTAGTAGTTCCACAAATTTTGCAAAGAACGCACAATGAATTTAGGGGGTTTTCACCAAACCATAGACATAAATGTGAATATCATCATCGAACTTAATGAAGTAGACAGACGGCTTGGCCACCACTTGATGGATGAAAATGCCGGTTCTCTTGGACCCATCATCTTTGGCGTGTTCCACCTGCTTGCCCACGAGGCTGTCGACCACTTCTCCAGGCTCCCGTTCTGCTGTAGGGAAATAGTAGTTGGAATCTGGAATGATGCGCAGGTCACCATCTTTGTAGTCATCCAGGAGCGTGTACATGTAAAGGACTGGATCTTTCTCGTAGGTGATGTAAAACCAAGTGTCCATCACGGGGGCTCGCGCCAGGACCATGCCCTTCCATTCATCTTTTCTCCCGTGCTCACCCTCAAACACATGCCCCACTGCCTTGCCAATCAGGGAATCTGCGAGGCGCGAATCAATGCGAGGAGTTGGCACTCTCTCAGGAAGGATCTCGAGCGCTAAAACTCTCTTATCTCGGTGCAGTTCTAGTCCATACACGCTATCCTTGCCATCATATTTGATGATGTAGAGAGTGGGCTTCACGGAAACCTGCTCAAGCACAGTTCCCTTCCATTGCTCCACTGGCTCGTTGCCTTCCTTCCAGCCGTGCTGGATGCGGCAGCCCACGATGTTCCTACGGGTGAGGAAAGTGGGCTTGCGGCGCTGCTTCCTGTGGGTGTGCCTTTTCTTCATCAGGTATGCGGACACACCATCTACGCCCATCGGAGGCACAGTTGGGGGCGACATGGCTCGGAGCTTACGGAGGCTTCGGCAAAGCTGCCACTTGCCCGATTAAACTGAGTCAAAAATCAGCGCTCTGCAAGCAGTTAGAGATCTTTCTTCGTGATCTCTGAGTCCCGGTCAGTCCTCCCTCCACCAAGCACTAGGATCTCACCAACGCCTGGCAGAAACGCTGCAACTCTCGGGTGCTGGGACGGCGTGGGCCTCTTGATAGCGTTCTCTCCCGCCCAGGAGGGGTGTCTGCAGCAGTGGCGGTTGCTGCAGGAGATGGCGCGCTAGTGCGTACTGCCCGCGCCTCGCTCCCGCCCGGACTCCCAACCCGAAGTCCCGAATTGACCACTTAGCTGTTGTCGGTGGTGCTGCGGCTGCGAAACGGCGTTGGAGGAGGAGACCGCGGGCCACGCAGGCAAGGGGCAAGAGGGATGGCTGCGGCGGCAAAGGGCGGCTGGTCCCTGGAGAGTCCAAGGGGCCTCAGCCTCCGAGCGCTGCTCTGCTCGGCCTAGCTCTGGCGCCAGGGCTTTTGCCGCTTCGGCAACCGGACCTCTCCGAGCCCGCCTGCGCCTCGGCCCCGCCCCCCGCCATTCCCCCTTCCGCTCCGCCCGCAGCAGCAGGGCGGGTCAATGCGCGCACCCGTGTTCAGTCCACAGAGTTCCAGGCTCTCGCTCCTTCATTTCCTCACGCGCCCCCCGACCGCTTCCCTCAAACCGGAGCCAGACTGGCCGGCTCCCCTCCTCCCTTTCTCTGGCCGCCTGTCGCCCGCCAGCCTCCTCCACAGCCGCTCCATCTGCTTTCTATCTTCCAGGAATTCCTCACAAAGCCTTGAAAAAATAGTAATATCCAACACACACACATACACACGCAGAGTTTGTACATACAAATTATTTTCTTTCAGTTAAAGGGATATGAGACCGGAGAAGAAAAAGCCTGTGTACAGTCCACCATCTTGAGCCAAACTCGCCTTTATATTTTGCATCTAATCATTCCGTTTTGCTTTTTTTTAAAAAAAACAATCTTTTTATTTCCGGAATGTAAAAGAAATGTTCGGACATTGTGCAGCTTTTCTACAATTCGGTGAAATAAAAGGCGAAACTAACCCCAAAATCCTGATCTTACCAACTCGACATGCACGAAATGTTACAATAATGTCACAATTTCTCTTTCGTTAGTAAGTCTCTGCTTATATTTCAGAAAACTGTGAGCAGATTTTATAACCTTGTAGCTTGTTTTTTCATTTATATCAAACATTTCCAAGGTTATGAAATATTCTGAAAATGTGATTTTTAAAATGGTTCCATAATGTTCCTTTGTATAGATGGTCCATTATTTATCCTAAATGGCCTATCAGAGAATGGATAATTAAACTAGTTTACATTCACATACAGATTTATTGAGCTACTATAAACCATATATTCAAAGAACATTTAACAACCTGAAGATCTACATATGAGATAAGACTGATCTGTGAAAAAGCACGATATTGCAACAAAATTGTGGCCCCAATTTTGTGCAGTTAAAAAAGAAACGTTGTTGTGATATGCATTTGTGGTTTTTCTGATTGTAAATGTAATGCATGCTCGTACGGAAAATCTGAAAGAGAGCAAAGCATCCGTAATTTCCCTACCTCAGGTCACAGGGCTGTTACGAGCATTAAGTGAGTGTCTGTAAAACTTTTACTCCTGTATTCTGCTTTATAAGATGGCAATAAAAACCAGGGAAGTCCAGGCCCCTCATTCTCTTCCTTCACCCTTCACTGGTGAGAAGACATCATATCATCACGTGTTTAAAAAAAAGGCCATTAATTCAAACAGAAATGTAGGAAAGCAAGGGAGAGAACTGCAAGGCACCAACGCCTGCTGACTCCACATTTCACTATCTTTCAAGGCAGGGACAAGAAAAACTTGGTCCTCATACCATTTGATAGCTGATTGGGCAGAATATGTGTGGATTCCCCAACTCCCCATGTTTTCAAGGCCAAGGACTTTGGAGCTGGGATAACTCTCCAATACTGTAATACAAGAAATTAATTTCAAGGAAACAAGGAAACGACAAACACTTAAAAGGTCTTTCCAAACTCTTTGGAGCGGCATAGTGGTGTATACTTAGTCGCACATACACATGAACTACACACTGAAAGTCGGAAGGTATGTGTAAATGTCATGCCATTATGTTTCACAAATAATGTCCCCCAGGTAATCCCCCAGAGCAAGATGTGCTAAGCTCTTTTTGCTTAGAAGAGCAGTTGACAAGTGACAGAAGACCACCCACGGGGCACACGAAGGCAGGGAAAACAATTTACTCAGGCTCTTTGGTTGTATACTTTAATAAAGTTCTTGCTCACGATCCCACAAAGCAGCCAGAGGAGATAAAAGAATTTTTAATATTCTTTCCTCTTTAAAATTGTAATTTTGATGTTTAGATTATTCTCGAACATTATGGATCCAGGGGGCCTTACCACACTATGATATAATGTTTATTTTGTATGCCTGCCCACTAGACTATAAATCCATTTGAGAAAGGCCTTTCATCTTGCAACTCAAGTGCCTTACACAGAATAGGTACTCAATAAATATTTGTTAAACGAATAAATAAGTGGTTTCAGCTGTCCTGTTCCAACCCTAAGAAATCCTCCCAAATGAAACAAGTTGTCTTCCACAAGGCTCTGAACACCGGAGTCCTGGTGACTTAACCTCTCCCACAGCAGCTTTATTTATTCTTTCAAAACATCCACATCACTGACCCTGTGAATATGTGTCCATAAGTCTGAAAATTGTTAGGAGAGCACCATCAACCTGCAACATATGTATACTATCAACCTGAAAGTCTAGCTGTAAAGATTAAGTGAGATAAGTACAAGTGAATATTTTAGCACATGAACTGATTCATGGTAGGTAGCTGAAGCCTCCTAACCAAGTCCTTTTCTCCCATCAAGACCGTCTACAAACCACAAAGGTCATGCGCTACCTCTGAACTTACACTCTATTTTATACTCAAGCCCTCTTGGTTGAGGGTGTGAGGGTGAATCAAGGAGGTACTGCTGACCAGATTTTGCCCCATATACTCAGTTTCAGAGCAGTCTTTCAAATGCTGCCAGTTACCAGAGGCCTAAAATCTGGATAAATTAAAAAAATATTTAAAATAATTTTGGGAGCTACAGCATTACTTTGTAACTGGGGTGGGGGGTGGTAGAGATAGGCATAAATTTTGTTAGTTCCATTGTACCAGCCAAATTCTAACACATGCTGAGACTTCTGGGCTGGGTTGGCCATAAAGTCCGTTTAGTTTTTTCCCGTAAAATAAAAGACACATTTTTTATTTTCACCAATAACTATCGATTTAGATATTTTGAGGATGTCAGCTGTCTCCCGCTATTGGCTTCTAGTGGGTAGAGGCCAGGGGTGCTGCTCAACATCTTCCAATGGATAAGACAGCCCCGCAGCAAAGAGTTACTTGGCCAAAATGTCCATAGTAGCAAGAAACTTTGCAAACCACTTTTGACACATTCTATCAGTCACATCACCTTCTCCTCCACACACTGCACAAAAGATTTGTGTTTCAGTTGCGTTTTTATCTTTCTTGAAATGATTCAGCATACTATGCGAAAAATGTTGCAGCTCTCCTTCCATCTTCAATACTTAAATGGCTGCACAAAAATTCGCCAATTTGATAAGTTTTTTAAAATGCACACCGATATGACCTCTGTCACAATATGATCTAACGGAATTGTTTCAAATGAAGTTAAAGACACCTAAGCACTACTAGAGCCATCGTATGGAAAAAACTAAATGAACTTTTTGGCCAACCCAATACATATTAATCACTGGGGACCCAAAGGAGGTAGTGATTTGTTATGGCTGGGGAGGTTGGAAAAGACAACCTGAAAGTGTAATAGAACAAAAGGAAGACATTCAAAAGGTGGTAGAATAGTGAGGCTTTTTCGGTGTAAGCAGAAAACAGCTGGAGGGAAGGTCACAGAGGAATGCATAGACATAGGATATGCGAAAAACTGGTCAGGCTCTTGTGGCTGGAGCACAGAATTTGCTCGGCTAAGGAATAGGGGATGTGGTTTGTGGTGGGAAATAAGGTTAGTCAACAGCCTCAAATGCAGGAAATTGATCTTATATCCACTGCTGCGTGGAGCAGATAATGTTCCAATTCCTCTGACAGTGCAGTGTTGGCAAGAGTAAAAAAGAGAGCTGATCTTCCATGTCCTCTCTCGCAGAAGGAGGCAGTACTTCCTTAAGCAGGAAATGTTTCCCTGTCGGAATCGTAGTATAGTGATGCTAATCACAGAGCTAATCTTCCATTCCCTTCTCAGCAGAAGCAAGCAGCATGGTGCTCTGATTCCTTTGTCAGAGAAGTGACAATGAAGTTTAACTGTGAGCTGTCCCTCCACAGTCGTCTGGTGGTATAAGGTAGAGGGAGTGATCTCTATTTTATAGTGCTTCTTCATCCACTCTTCCCATATCAACACAACATCAGTGAGAGGAAGCAATGTAGAGTGAGGCAGGGCTAGTCGGCACTGTTTTCCTACACCCTACCTGTCAGTGAAAGCCAGTGAGGAGCTGAGCTTTCGTCCCTATCCACCATCAGTGAGACTGTGTGAGGGAAACAAGACAGAATGAGGTAGTATTCAGCTTTCCCTACAACTTGGCGTCCGTCCGTCAAGTCCAGTGGCAGATAAACCTACAGTCCCACTTGGAGGCAATGAGATTGTGGGAGTCAGTAGCCTACTTTCACCATGAAAGAAATTTGCAGATATGAGAGGGGTACTAAACTTCTGTTCATCCCACCCATGTGCAATGCGGGCCGTGTGAGTCTCTTTTGCAAAGGTGGTCTCTAGATTCCCACAAGAAGCCTAACAGGCACACATACCCTATCCTCCAGCTACGTAACAACGGGGAGGATGTCTGATAAAAACAAGTTAAATAGAATAGAGCCTCATAATATGAAAAATGAAAATGGTACCATAAAAATCAAAAATCATACAAAAAGCAAGGGAAATCACAACTTGAATGAGGCAAAGCACTTACCAAATGGAAATTTTAGAACTGAAAAAATAACTCAAAGAAAAGTCTCCTGGGATGGGATCAATAAAAGACTAGAGATGACAGAAGATAGAACCAGCACATTTGAGGTCAGAAAAAAAATAAAATTTACCCCATGTGAACAACAGAGAGAAACAGACTGAGAAAAAAAAGTCTCAGGAGCCTGTGAGACAAAAGAGCTAACATTTAAATTGCTTTAAAGGAAGTGAAATTCTCAGCTGTAGATCTAACAAAACATGCACAGGATCTCTATACTGAAAATTAAAAATGGTAATACTAGAAATTAGAGAAGATTAAAAAAATGGAAGCACATATCACATTCATGGCTTGGAAAACTCACCATAGTAATGATATGAATTCCTTCCAAATTGATCCATAAGTTTAATGCAACTTCTATGAAAATTTGAGCAAGGTTATTCGTAGAAATACACAGGATTCTTCTTAA